ATCTCAGGGTCCTGGGATGGAGCCCCATGTGTTGGGCTCCCTGCTCAGCGGGGAGTCTGTTTCTCCCTCTCCCTCTGCCACTTCCCCTGCTTGTGCTCTCTTGCACTCTCTCTCTCTCAAATAAATAAAATCTTTAAAAAAGAAATTGAGCACTGAAGTTTATGGAGCAGTGCATATTCCTCTCAAGCCCAAAGGTCCCCAGGCAATCCAACAAAACACACAAAAATAAAATAGATCACTGGATTTTTAAAATGACCATATCAATAATTACTATAAAACTATTTTTAGGAGGTAAATTAGCAGTTCTGTACACTGATTCTTTCATCCTTACATGACTCTTAGTGTTATGATGAAAGAGATGCCCATTTAAAACTTTTCAACAGTCAGTTTGTTTTAAGAAAGCAGAGTACAAAGTCATGAGTTTAAAGCTATCACCCCACATCACTGAGGTAAGTATCTGTGGCCTTGCCAGCTACAATTTGGGAACAATCTCAGGGTGTTTTGCAAAAAGAAATAAGACGTGCAGTGACAAGCCCGGGGCTGGTACCAGACGGGGTGATTCTCTGTACCTCAGCCCCCCACTTAACCACTCAATAGCTCGTGTGTAATATGCAATCAAACCAGTAATACCCAATCTTATCAGTCATGGTAATCTCTGCCCGGCTTCCCTCAATAGGCAACTGTATTCCAATGACAATGTGCTGAAGTACAAAGGATTATTATTAATAAAGCTTTCTGAAAGTAAAAGTTCTTATGAAAAGCAAGAAAAGGCCTCAAATCCATTTTTTGAAAGAAGCTGGGTACAAACTAGATATAAGTATTAGGATGATAATCACCTCACAGTTTGACAACAACAACAAAACACACACACAACAGTTGCCAAAATTAAGCTCTTTATTCATCTCCCTTGTTTCCAAGAGTCCTGGTAGTTTCTATGGTACAGAGGGCACTTCTGGAACTTGGTATCACAGAACCAAGACATGCTCAGAACACACTGAACCACGGTGTCACCCCCGGAGTCCTGGAGGAGGGGCAGTTACACAAACGCCTATCAGGGACAGAGGGGCGATACCACTGAAATGAAAACCCAAACCGAGGCTTGGCTTTGGGCTTGGGCTGTGATCCTGAGACACCCAGGCAGGACTCAGCTGAAGCCAGAGAAAAGCTCTTTACCAGGAAGTCCTGTGACTGTCCTGGAAGCAGGCCAGCAGAGAGAAGACTCATTTTGGATGCGTGTTCAGTGGGTTTAGAACGCTATCCAATTCCCAGAGGGAGGCAACATGCCCCTCCCTTTGCGGGGGGGGGCTCGCTCTGGCCTTCTCACTTAGCTCCCGAAGGCCAAGGATCTTTGACTCCTTGATTCATTGGGCAGAACCTTACTGCTGTCCAGTTTGTGCTGGGGGCAGAGGACAGTGAGAGGAATCAGGCACAGTCCTTACCTTCAGGGAATTCAGAACACAACAGGAAAAGCCTGTATTTATAAAGAAATCATTGTAATTCGAGGTAAAAAGGATGGAGAGAGGATTCATACAGACTTGGCCCTCAATTCACAGCCTAGCAGAGGCCGTGAAGGCACAAGACGGACAACAATAACACACCACACCCTGTGGTAACGGCTAAAGGGAGGCCCTAACTGGGCACTGTGGAAGCACAGAAAGGGAGGGCACGACACCTACGGACTGAGGCAGTGGGGAAAACACGCAGCCTACTGAAGAAGACTGAGCAAGCTGAAGCAGAAGTATTGAAGCCTACTGCCCTGGAGAGGAGGCGGGGCAGCCTTAGGTTGATCTCTGTGGGTCCCTTGGGGTACCCAACAGACAGGGTGCAATGTCTCATCTATGCCTACGGTTGCATGATATCCCAAGGATAGGAGGGGAGACTGGTGACTGGGAGAAACAGATCCAAGTAAAGCACCCAAATAACCAGGGCCTGAAGTAAACAGTAGGGGTCTAGGGGTGAGGGCATCAGGAGGTTGGGAACCTGAGCAGGCCCAGCAGGTTGAAAGGATGGGAGGTGGATCTGGATACCTACCAGCAGCAGGAGGCCCCTACCTATGCTTTCTTGCTCTCCCAGTGGTGCACCGTGTGTGCTGGATGGATCCATTCTAAGGGTCTAAAGATGGGGGGGGGGGGTTGCATGTAGGAGCAAAGGGACCAGAGCCTCTGTAGGCCTCTCTCCATGCCTCTAGATTAGAGGTCTCCAGTCTGCTTTTCTTCTTTTCTTCACAACTGCCATCACTTGCCCCATCTTTTTCATTCTACCAACCTGAGAGGGCCTGGAATGGGCTCAGTTAGGATACCAGTGTCATGGGATCAGTCCCAGGGCCCTGAAGACCTTGAGGAATTGGCACAAACAAGTCAGGAGTGCCTACAGCTGTCTCTGTTGGTCACCCGGAACATGAACAAGTTAAGCCAGCTTCAGGTGACAGGGCTGGGTAGGAACGTATCTGTAGCCTAAATTGCTGGCCAGTGTGGGCCTCTGGCCCTTCCCACACGTGTCAGGAAACAGCTCCAGCCTGTTGTCATTTCTTCTTCACAGCGGCCACCACCTACGCTGCAGTCTCTCCAGCCTAGGTCTCTTACCTGGGCCGTGTTTCTCTCTCTTCCTAAAGGCGCCGGGATTCCTGCCCTGCTGTTCTTTTTCTCCATAGCTGCCATTGCCCACTCTGTTCCTCTCCCTAATCCTCATTCGGCATTACCCCTGTCCCCAAATCCTCTTTGCTTGCTAGTCCTGAACGATGCACACAGCCCCTCTGCCTATTAAGAGTTTCACTGCTAATCACTAAGGAGAAGCAAACATAAAGCAAAGGGGAAGGAGAAAGGGAATGGCAGTTCGGAGAAGGATAAGACATCTTTTGAGGGCTGGTCCTGGACATCTGCGGTTCACACTGGCATGTGACTGAGGGCCCTCCCCCGACTCCCTTCTTGGATGGCGCCAAGGAAGTCTTGCTATTTTCATACTCCTCATCCTTTAGACCTTGTTGGAGAAGAAAGCCATCCCCACTGTTCCTATCTCTTTGGGAGTATGGTGCTTGGGAAAGCTTTGCAGAACAAGAAGCTTCCAGTACTCAGGAGAGGGCTGCCCTTCCCCGGTTCCTCCCTGTACCACCAACTCTGCCGCCCCCTCCACTGCCCACTTGACAGGGGTCTTCTCTGACAGTGGGCTTCATACAAGGCAGCAGAGAGGAGTATGCATTATCTCCCCCAACAACTGAAGGCCCTACATGCCAGACTAAATGCGAACCCCCTCTAGCAGGCAAATGGAGCCACAGATGCCTTTCAACCAGGGAATGGCAACAGAAAGCACCTTACATTATGCACAGGCTCTCAAGAACATTTAGATAAATGTATAAATGAGTGAATGAGTGAGCATAACTGTGTACTGGGTGGATAACTTTGACAAATGGAAGAGAGGTTAAGGGAATTTTAAAAAGTCACTCTAAACCATGGACTTAAGCCTTATGCAGAAGTATGTGAAGTTAATCTCCTACTTTCATCCTGGAGGGCTCTCCCCCATATGACAGGTGCAACTGCAGCCTCCAGCCTCCTGGGCTATATTCTACAACTAAGACTCGCTCTCTGGGCCATTACTCAGCACCAAATTTAGTTATCTGATATAAGTCAAAGGTATTTCTTCTCCTAAAATAGGGAGAAAAACCAAGTCTTTCATGATCAAACTTCTGTTACAATAACAGGCTATGGGGGAAAGATTCTAAAATAAGAGCAACCAATCTAGTATCATCTGAGATACCCAGCACTGGCAAATTTCAGCCCCAAACCCATCAAACAAAGGGGCACCCCTACTTCACAAATAGTGATTGTAGTAGGTACAAAAAAATAGGCCTGATTCAGAGGTCTGGGGTCCAGAGACCTTTCTAATAAGTAAAGCAGTGGCTAGGCCAGAACAATATTCTGAGAAAAAGAGACCTGAGGAAAACCCAGTGGCCTGGCCAAGCCCTGGGACAGCTGACTCCAAGCACAATGAAGATGCAAGTAAGACAATGACATCAGGAGCTACCATAACCCCAACTTAAAGCCCAACATCTACAAACCAGCTGCATTGATTATCTTGAATTTTCTCCCACTTCTAGCCCCATAAACTGTGAGCTCTTTGAGGGCAGAGACCATGGAAAGTTCTAGCCAATGCTTTAACGTCCTAATCCTAGTACAGGAACCATCCTAGTACATGAACTTCAGGGTCATCTTTCATAGGAGTAATGCCCTCAGAAACAATAAGTACCATTATCAGGGGCCACTGGCTTTTTCTTATTTTCTCCCTAGGAAATAAGGGTTCTGGAGGAGGAAGGGAAGATTGAGCAGAGCTGCAAAGCTGGAGAAGGTAGGTGACCTCATGATTCTGTTGTTCTGCCCAATTCCTCTAAGGACAGAGAGCCTGCAGAGTTCTGAGCCTGATTAGAAGGGTGAGGGTGTGTTTGTTATTAAAAACAGAACAAACCATCCAGATCTTCCTTTGTGCCAGGACACCTGTTTGTGGCCTCACACCTGGATGAGTGGCGAGTCACTGGAAAAGATGAGTCCTCTGACTTCCACTTAGAGATCAGAGTCCTGTCAAAGACCCATGAAGCCAGGACTTGCTGATCATGGAGCATGTGAGCACTCTGCCTTTCCTAGGAATGGGAAGAAGAAAAATCACAGAGCCAATCCTCTCATTTTACAGATGGAGACGACCTGAGGCCCAGAGAGTTCAGGGGACACATCCAAGATCCCAGAGCAAGCCAGTGGCACCACTAGGACCACATCATGGTTTCCCAACACATAGTTCTTCCCACTGCAGTAACTACAGCACAATTTTCCTTTTGCTCTTTGGAGAAGTGAAAAGAGGTGGTGAGCAGCATGTTAAGTTTTTAGATTCTCTGTAGACTTCAATAACCTCTATTAACCTGGCCTCCATCATCCTGTGGTTGCCTTCTGTGGTTTCCTTTCTAAGGAAAATTGGGTTCTAAGCCAATTTTTAGTTTTCAGTTGGCTCAGAGCTCTTACCAGGGCTGCTGCAGTCCTCATTCATGTGGCTCAGGATCTCTCGGTCTGTAAACAGGCGGAAGGCAATCTGCTCACACTCTCGCTTGGTCCCACACTCAAACAAACACCCAAACAAGCCCTCCTTTTCCAAAGCAGCCAAATCAGAGTAGCCACAGGGCCCGCAGTGCAAGATCCACGGGCGGGACCAGCAGGCAGCACCCAAGGGGGTCTGGTTGAGGTAGATGCCTAAGTTGACCCTCCGCTTCTTACTGGTTGGGTGTGAGTACAAGAGCCAAGATTCAGACAGCATTCCAGCTTCCTGCTCTAGCCTCATTGCGCTGTCCAGCAGAGGGCTCTGCTGAACGGTAGGAGCATCTTTGCCATTAGGGTCCTGGTACACTTGAAGGATCTCCATGGGCCGGAAACTCACCACGCTGCCTTGGCAGCCATGCGGGGGCTCACAGAGCTGAGGGCTTAGGGCTGACCTCTGAAAGCATTCACCATGGTTAATGCTGAAAGCCTCAGCCCGGGACCTGTTTGGTGTCCGGGCGCTGCAATACAGCACAGGGTCGCCAGCCCTCCCGGTCACTTCTGCCACTTCACACTCCACTGTTGCCATGGGCTTAATGAGCCTGCCATGGTGCCATGTGGCCCCTAGGTCATCACTGTAGATCATCAGGGAATGAGGCTTGGCTTTACATGGTAGCCGGAAGCAAAAGAACCAGTAGGGGATGTAGTAGGCATATGCAGGGATGACCAGCCTCCCCGACTGCAGCTGGATGCCATGACCCGGGCCCACAGCAAATGTGGCCCAACGCTTCACCTCTGCACCAATAACCTCTTCAGTCAGGTCCCTCACCTCGCTCCATGAGCAGCCAGCGTCCCGACTGCAGATGAAGCAGAGGCGGGCCGCGTTCCTGCCTGACATGACCTGTTGACGCTCGGTGACATGGCCCCGCACACAGATGAAGAATAGGTATACGCAGCCACTCTTCTGCTCCCACACAGGACAGGGGTTCATAGTCCGATGCCCAGGTAATGTGGCTTCCAGCAATGGCTTCAGGGGTCCCCACTAGACAAGGGGAAGGGAGAGAGAGCAGGAGTGAGAGACTAATAGGAAGACATGAGGCTCATTGAAAGCATTAGTATTTTTCAGCGCTAAGAAATAACTGGTATTAAAATCTATGGAATCATGAAGTATTCACTAATATTCAATAATTCTCAAATATTACAGGATGATTTATAAAGCTGGGAAGAGGCAATGCTAGATACTGTACATGCTGTCCTCTCTGTCTAGAACACTCCTCCTCACTTTGTCTAGATGCCCAATTCACCCTCCAAACTCAAAAGTCACCTCCTTTGTAAAGCTTTCTATGCAACTCCCTCCCCCCATCCCCTCCCAAAAGCAATTGGTGGCTTCCTCTTTGTACATACAGAAGAGTTATAGCACTTATTATACTATAATCATAACTTTTTATGTGACTGGCTCCTTTCCTAGATTATGAGTCTTTTGAGGATAGAAATCAAATTATTCTAACTTTGTACCTCCAGTGCCTAGCACATGATAGGAGCAAAATAAATATTTTTTTAAAGAAAGAAAAAAGGAAGAAAGGGGGGGAAAACAAAAAGAAAATGAAGAAAAGTAAAGCAAGGCGGACAAATATGGAATTTAGGCAAATAAAGGGAAATTTAAAACAAAGATTTTTTCCCCCTTCCTCTACTATCCTGGGGAGGCAATTCATAACACTGTCATTAAAAACTCAAGCATGGAGTCAGAGTTACCTAGTTCAAAGCAGCCCTCATCACTTCCTGTGTGATCTTGGGCAAGTTACTTAAACTTACTTTACCTCAATTTCTTCATCAGTTAAATGGAAAATGTAATAACATGCTCATACAGCAATAACATGCTCACACAGGAGTTGGTAAAAGTCTAAAATGAGATAATGCCTAATCAGACAGATCACAAAGAAAGACCTAATCTCCTTAATATCTTTTAAAAAAACTGTATTAGAAATTGGTAAGAAAACTTCCAGAAACCGAACTGAAATGGACAAAAAGCAAGATCAGGCAACTCAAAGAAAGAGGGAAAAACAATTAAAATATGTTTAACCTCACATATAAAAAAAGAAAAGCAAATTAAAATTAAAATTGATGTGGTACTTTTCATCTAACCAACGGGCAACATCATAAACTTTGACACTATTCTGTTGACAAAAATCTGAAGAAACAGGCACTCTCTTATATGGACCGAAGTGCAAAATGGTTCAACATTAATGTAGGGTATATCAAAATTTCAGACACATTTATCCTTTCCCAGCATGCCCAATTCTGGGAATTTATCCGAAAATATCTCTGCTCATCAAATTAAGTATATACAAGATTACTCACTGTGGTATTGCTTGGAACAACAAAACATCGTGAACCCAAATATTCATCAGTAGGGGACTGGTTAAATGAACATACAATGCAAGAGATGAAAAAGAAAAAAGGAAGGCCTCTACACATTGAGATAGAAAGATTTCTATAATATATTGTTAAATGAGCAAAGCAAAGTACAGGCAATGTATGTAGTATGCTACTTTTTGCATAAGAAATAAGAAGAAAAATCCAGTAACAGCAAACTAGGTAATTTGAACCAAGCTTTCCACTGAGACTAGAGACGACAGATAAAACATTAAAACAATGTTGAAGATGGAACTTTAAAGAGCTAAATGCATAGAGTAAGGGTGAAACTGACGTAGACTTGCTCTCACGGCCACCACTCTAGAAAACTGGATGGCATTATCTACTGCAGTGCAATGTAAACCTACCCTATGATCCAGTAATGCTCTTTCTAGATAGAAACCCAACAAAAATGCACGCACACAGTAGCGAAAACGCATACAAGAATATTCAGAGCAGCCTGTACACAATTGTTTGGATAAACCTCAAAAATACTTAAGAAGACAAACATTAAGAATAAAGATGGGGCCACCTGGGTGGCTCAGATGGTTAAGCATCTGCCTTCGGCTCAGGTCATGATCCCAGAGTCCTGGGATCGAGTCCCGCATCGGGCTCCCTGCTCCTTGGGAGCCTGCTTCTCCCTCTGCCTCTCTTTCTCTCTGTCTCTCATGAATAAATAAATAAATAAATCTTAAAAAAAAAAAAAAAGAATAAAGATGAAAACCAGGCAAAACTAGGGGTACCTGGCTGGCTCAGTCGGTAGTGCATGTTGATCTCAGGGTCATGAGTTCAAGCCCCATGTTGGGTGTAGAGTCTACTTAAAAAAAAAAAAAAAACAAGCAAAACTAAACTCTAGAGCTATAAATCAGGACAGCAATTACCTTTAAGATGGGGGATAAGAGAAGCTTCTGAGGTGCTGGTAATATTCTATTTCTTGAGCTAAGTGATGAGTCCACAAGTGTTGGCTTTGTCAATTCACAGGGATGACATTCATGTTTTGTGCAATGAACATTTATGTTATGTTTTATGTTTTCTATTATGTGTTTTATCACTTCATGTTAAAACGTTTTCAAGGGGAGTATTAAGAATATATACTTGTATTTCTTTGTTTCTGTAAGAAGAAGCACTAGAAGGGTACATAAGAAACAATGGTGACAACCTATAGGAAGTAGGGCACTAAGAATGGGATATATACCTTTTTATAGCATTTTAGACCATGTATACCACATGAATGTAATGGAGACCATGTATACCACATGAATGAATGAAACAAAACATTTAATTCCTGAATAAATGGGCAAAACATATTAGGCAAAGCTCATATCAGAGAATCTCAGAGTCATAAGGACCTAGAACTAATTCCCATCGTATAGGTTTCCGTCTAAGCCTTCTGGATCAAGGCCATTCAGTCTCTCCTTGAACTGGTCAAGGGACAGGGAACTCAATATCTCTGGGGCAGCCCATTCTGTACCAGAGTGCCTGGTGCACTGTAAACACTTCAAACATATGTGCCAAATTCAACTTAGTTATTGGCCAGTCTAGTCAGTGTGAAGTCAGAAGTGCAACCATTCTTACTGGCTAAGAGAAGAAAATGACTTGGGCCAGGTATGTCTAAGATAAAGTTAACACAAAGCTGGAAGAAACAGTAACTGAAACATGAAAGCATTAGAATCTAAATGATCTCAACCAGCTGGAGCAATGGGACATAAACAAGCTGAGGCTTGACAGAGATAGATCAAGTCCTGGATTTGAAAATCTGGATGGAGAAGCATGATTAAAGAACAGCAAACAGGGGCACCTGGGTGGTTCAGCCAGTTAAGTGTCTGCCCTGGGCTCAGGTCATGATCCCAGGGTCCTGGTATTGAGCCCCGTGTCGGGCTCCCTGCTCAATGGAGAGTCTGCTTCTCCCTCTCCCTCTGCCCTGCCCCCACCATGCTTGCTCTCTCTCAAATAAATAAAATCTTTAAAAAAAAATAACAGCAAACATAATGGCCAACAAGCATAACGAAAGTATCACTCACTATCACTAATAATTAGGGAAATGAAAATCAAAACCACAACAAGATATCACTGCACATCCACTAGGATGATTACTATCAAAAATAAATAATAAGTGTTGGCAAGGGTATGGAGAAATTGGCACCCTGTACACTCTTGGTGGGAATATAAGATATTCAAGTCATTGTGGCAAACAGTATGGAGGGTCCTCAAAAAATTAAAAATAGAATTACCACATGACCCAATAATTCCACCTCTAGATATATACCCAAAAGAATTAAAAGCAAGGTCCTGAGGAGATATTTGCATACCCATATTCATAGCAGCACTACTCATAATAGCTAAAAGGTAGACACAAGTGTCTTATCAATGGATGAATAAACAAAATGTGGTATATACACACACAACGGAATATTATTCAGCCTTAAAAAAGGAAATCCTGTCACACGCTACCACACAAATGAACTTTGAGGGCATTACACTAAGTGAAATAAGCCAATCACTAAAAGGCAAATACTGGATGATTCCACTTATATGGGGTATTTAAAGTATCTAGAAACTTGGGGCGCCTGGGTGGCTCAGTCGGTTAAGCGTCTGCCTTCGGCTCAGGTCATGATCCCAGGGTCCTGGGTTCGAGTCCTGCATCGGGCTCCCTGCTCCGCGGGAAGCCTGCTTCTCCATCTCCCACTCCCCCTGCTTGTGTTCCCTCTCTCGCTGTGTCTGTCAAACAAAACAAAACAAAACACAAAAAAACACTTAAAATAACTAAATAAATAAAAATAAATAAAGTATCTAGAAACTCATAAAAACAAAGAAGAAAGGTGGTGGCTAGGGGCTGGGGGAGAGGGAACCGAGGAGTTGTCCAAAGGGTATAAAGTAATGGTCATGTATGATGGAAAAGTTCTAGAGATCTGGTGCACAACAATGTGCCTCTAGTTAACAATACTGCAATGTACACGTAAAATGGTTAAGATGGAAAATTTTATGTTAGGTATATTTTACTATAATTTAAAAATTTTTATAAAAGCAGTAAATGTGAAAAGGATTCAGAGGTTTGGGCTGACCGTCTACTTAATATTAGTCACCCCGCATTATGCAGCTGCCACAAAAAAGCAGATGCTACTTTACATTAGACTGAGTTAAAGAGATACAAAATGGGATAGCCACCCATTGCTGAGCTGGTCAGTCTATCCTTGGAGCCCGAAATTCAGAGTACCATTCTTTGAAAAAGGGCACGGACATTCCAGATCAAATCCCAAAGGCAGTAATCATAGCTTTCGAGGGACCAGAAAGCAAATCAAGACTGTGGCCTCACAAGCCACTAAAAGAACTGAAGCTGGTGAGCCCCCAAATCAGAACGCTCAGAGGGTATGCACACTGCTTTTAGGTACATCAAAGAGCATTCTCTGGAAAAGGGACTTTATATTATATATAGATTAAATGTCCCAGAAGACCAATAGGTGATTCTAAAGTACAGGTTGTCTCATTCCAAAAACAAAAGTTAACAGTTGCCACAGGATCAAGTTCCTCACTGGAGGAGTTGTGTAAGCAGACCCTTTATGGGAGATGACTAATGTTGAGGTCCTACTAATGTAACTGCTATTATTACATTTTACAGATGATGAAACAGACAAGAGTCAAATCCAAGGTCACACTGCCAATAAATGGTCTCCAAAGCCTGACTCCAAAGCCATGTTCTTAACCCCTAAGCTCTTAGTAGCTACCAAGGGAATACAGATCTCTGCACTGGGAAAGAAGTTAGGCTGATGATTCTTCTACCTTCGAGATTCTGCAATCAGGTAAGTCAGAGAATGAAAGTAATAAAATAGAAGGGAGAAGGAGTCAAAATGGACGCATCTGTAAATGCTTGTGACGGCTGGGCACTGAGGTTACGGGACAGGCATGGTCTGGTGAGAAGTGGTGATATTTCTGTGGGTAGAAAACCAGGGCAGGTGAGGGGGATTAGAGTGCCTATTATAAAGACATCTATGTTTGTTTGTTTGTTTACAAAAGACTCTCAAATCCATCGTCTCATTTGATCCTCACTTGAGCTGGCTCTGCAGGAGAAAAGACAAATGGGATCTGAAATAACCCTATCTTCACGGTCCCAGAGACAGCAAACACTCTCCTCTAAAGATGCAGCGAAGATGTGCCACTTAGAAGTGAGGCCTCCAGCCCCAGCTCTGCTGCTTGGGAGGCGTGTGCCTGAGGCAAATCACTAATCCTCTTTCCTCCTGTACTATGCACCTCACATAAAACACGCAGGAAGGAGAATTGTGGTTATCCTCACCCCCACCATCTGCTAGTTGTGGTCTGGAACAAGCTACCTACCTCCTGGAGGAGCAGGATCCCTCACCAGAAAACTGAACCAACAGTGCTTACCTCCCTGGCTGACTTATAAGAACAAAAGACAACGTGAATGAAAAGCACACGGCGTGTTAGTTGAATCTGAATGAACCACGGAGGCTTCTGGAATCAGAGATGGAGTTTAAAGCCTGCGTCTGTGCTTCATTATAGCTGTGTGACCTTGAACGAGTGGCAACATCTCTGAGCCTCAGTTTTCTCATCTGTAAAATGTGACTGACAACCGTTCCTATGTCACAGAGGAGCTGTTGGGGATCCAGTGTGTGCCTGGCACACAGTCAGTACTCAGTAAGTGAGAGCCATTGCTTTTACTGGTTTCTTTTTTTTTTTTTTTTTTTTTTTTCCCACAGGGCTTTTCCATCACGGACAGGAAACGGCACAAACCCTGAAGTAGTCTAAGCAATGTGCAGAGAGACTGAGGCTCAGAGTCAGATCTGGGATGAGGAGTCACCTGTACCGAGTGCCCAGTCCTCAACCCTCGCCTCAGCACCAGGTGGAGAGCATCCTCATCCCTGCTCGTGGAGCGCTTCTCTGCAAAGGCCAGGAAGGTGTGGGTGCGGGGGATGTAGAGCAGGGCTGGGATCCGGTAGGTGACCCCTCTCTTGTCTTCCTGCTGGAACAGAGGGCTGTTGAAGGAGCACGATGTCACTTCTTCCATGACCTCTGCAAGGACAGGAGGCAGCTAAATGTGTGTCCATACCCGAATGCTGCCCCGCGTACAAGTTCCGCTCTATCATCCCATTTCTGGAGATCACATACAGGGAGGCAAAGATTTACTCAAATGTTTATTTTTTTATACAAAAGGAACATCATGTTCTCAAAAGCACAAAGCAAGCAATAAGCATGCTCACTGAACAAATCTATCCTCCAGACTCTGTGGAAATCCTACATAGCCTCAGCCTGTGTCAAGTATGTCTCTCCAGGGGTGCCTGGGTGGCTCAGTTGTTAAGCGTCTGCCTTCGGCTCAGGTCATGATCCCAGGGTTCTGGGATTGAGCCCCACATCGGGCTCCCTGTTCTGCGGGAAGCCTGCTTCTCCCTCTTCCACTCCCCCTGCTTGTGTTCCCTCTCTCGCTGTGTCTCTGTCAAATAAATAAATAAGTAAATAATATTAAAAAAAAAAAAGTATGTCTCTTCAGAGAGATTCTGCATGTGCTTCTGCAAGCATCCAGGGGTATCGCCAGCCTGGATGGTTTCTAATGTCACTATCTTTGGAATTCTTAGGCCATTCGGGTAATGTAAATATAAATCCAAATCCATATGAGGAAATGCCTGTGGTTAAGAATTCTGGGGGAAACTTCTTCCCTCTACTACAGCCTAGGATATGAGGCAATCTTCTTTGTCATCTCTCCGGGTCAGTAGTGAGAATTCTTTTTGCCTAGTTCACCCCATCAAAGGGTGTGGACTTTCAAGGGACTTAGCTTCATGCAGGGATCTCAGTTCCAGTGAGGGTCTAACCCATGTGGGCCCACAGTTGCATTCACTGCAACAGCAGGTCTATTAAAGCCCAAACTTCTACGTAAGTGAGATGAGCGAACACCCAGGCAGCTGAGGTCAGGTTAAGGGGCTAACTACTCTGGTTTTCAGTTTACTCTTGGTTTCTAGGCCCCTGGGAATTTCTCTTACTTCCTTGCAATTTCAGCTATAAAGGACTTTTGTTATATTTTATCCACCATGGTACGGGTTAGCTAGCCTGCCGTAAATGCTGAAAATGGAAGTCTCCAGGTATGCTTCTCAAAGAAAATCAGGTATTCTACTTCAGAGGCCCAAAAAGGGAATTAAGCCAGACAGAACCAGGCTCAGAATTCTTTTTTTTTTTTTTCCCTCTCACCATCTGTCATCCAATCCTTCTTTTATAAATCACTTGTAAAAAATTGTCAGGCTCTAAAAACGAGGCTCAGAAAGCCTTATTCATTTATTTAATATATATTTCTGGGTGCCCACTCCCAAGTCAGCCCGTAAGGTAGGTGCTGAGGCGACAGAAAGAAATCAGAAGTCCCTGCCTTCAAGAAACCCGCATCCAAGTGAGGGAAACAGACACACACGGACAATTACAATACCATGCAGTAAGTGCCACATTAGGGGTAACCATGAGAGTGTGGAGGAAAACAGAAAAAGAGCATCAGTCCAGATCAGGGCAGCCGAGTGAGCTCCTGTCTCATATCCTACGCTCCGTGCCTTTCTGGTACATTCTCCTTTCAGATAACCAAGAGCTCACTCCCTCAACTCCTTCAGCTCTGTTCAAATGTCATCTAATTGAGGAGGCCTTCACTGACAACTCCCCTGCTCCTCCCTTATCCCCTCTCTCTGCTCCCTTCTCCATGCCACTTATCATCCGGATCCTACTTGTTTAATACATATTACAGAACAGAAGCTCCATAAAGGGCAGGGATAGGTCTGTTCTATTCACTGCTACATCTTTATACCCAGAACCATGCCTGGTGATTGATAGGCACTTGATGAAAACCTGTTGAATGACTGAATGAGTGGGTGAGCTGGATCCTAAAGGATGGTCAGCCAGTTGGGAGGTGAAAAGGGCAGAGGGAGTGGATGTGAAAAGCCTATAAAGGACAGAAAACAGAGTGAACTGTGGGGACTACTGGTTGTGTGGTAGGACTACAGTAGAGTGCAAAGGGTGGGACTGAGGGATCGGCAGAGTCCAGGTCCTGGGAGGCTTTGATACCTTATTAAGGTGTTTATCACACAGAGAGGGGGCCACTCAAGAGTTTTTGGCAGAGGACTGGCATGATCAAGTATGCATTTTAGACCAATCTCCCAGGAAGCCTCTGGGTAATAAACTGAAAGAAAAAGCTGCACTGCTTTTGGCTAGAGCCGCCTAGTTTCAATCACGACAAACTTATCCAAGAGCATATGAATGATTCATTTGGTCACTTGTTTCTGACTTAAAAGAAAGAAGAACCATGGCTCATTATCATGAGGGGACTGGGGGGAGTGGCCTCCAGAGTCCAGAACAAAAGCCTCTCCTCACTCCAATTCTGGGCACTTGGTAGCAGAATTGAAAAGCAAGTGTGAACTGTCTTCTTCACACAGTACTAGAGCACACCTCTCTCTCCTCAATTCAGGCTCTCCTGCCAGGGAGGATCTGGCTTTTTCTAAGTAAACACCTGTCCTAGAGCCAAGCTGGTTTAATGGTTAAGAACACAGGATTTGGACCACACTAGGGACTACATGACCTTGGGCATGTTATTTAACTTTCCTAATGCTTCAGGATCTTCATGTATAAAATTCAGAAGATTGCTGAGAGAATTAAGTTAAAAAGTTAAAGTGGCTGTTATAGAACCCATTACATAGTATGAGCTCAATATATGGGTTATTATTTTTAGACTTTCAATCACTACACATTCTACAGTTGACCCTTCAACAACACAGGAATTAGGGGCACTGACCACCCCCCCCCGGCAGTCATAAATTCATGTATAATTTTTGAGTCCCCCAAAACTTAACTATGAATAGCCTACTGTTGACTGGAAGCCTTACCAATAATATAAAGTCAATTAACACATATTTTGCATGTTATATGTATGATATACTGTATTCTTATCATAAGGTTAGAGAACAAATGTTAAGAAAATCACAAGTCAGAGAAAATGCATTTATAGTATTGTACTACATTTACTGAAGGAAATGCTTATATAAGTGAAACCGTGTAGTTCAAACCTGTGTTGTTCAAGGGTCAACTGTAGTTTTATTCCTTGAAATCTGTGGGTGATGATGATGATAACAGTGAACAACTCTCTTCTTAAAAGCATTTAAATCCCTCTATGCCTCTGGGAAAGATCATATTTTAAATTCTTAGAAACCCACACTTTAATTATGAGTTACTACCAACACTATTAATCATCAGTCAACATATGATTGATTATTAGTTAACATTATTAGTTAACATGAAAACAGGAATTCTCTGGGTGATAAAACTAGAGCACAGGATAGGCATGGAGTGGGGAGGTAGGACTAGGAAAAAGGAAAGGGAGAGGAAGCAGGGAGAGCACCAAAGCAGAAGCACAGCTTGTCAAATGGGACTTCATTCAAGTCCCAGCTACACTTCTGTGTGACCTTGGGCTAGTCACTTAATCTCTCTAGGTCTTGGACTCCTTGCTTGTAAAATGTGGATAATACCTACCTAAGATGACCAATATGAAGAACCACTCAAAAGTGCTTTATAAACTTTAAAGCACTATATAAGTAAAAGTATTATAGATTTTGATGTCTTCACAATTTCACTTATGGCTTTGCTCTCACTATAACAACTGGAGTCACTATCATTACTTTTTATTATTTATTAATTTTATTAATTATGATTATGCTGATCACGTTGATGACAGTGGTTATGTAACATAGATGATGACTCTGGCACTGAAACCCAAACTATTTCACACAAACCATATACTGGGAACTAAGGATAGAGAAGAATCAGTATCTTCTGAAGAATCAGAGTTCTGCTTTGGAGTTGTTCATTTTAGCCAAGAACTCAAGTTACTAATTGCTGCTCCATATGATCACCTTTCAGTCAAGTCCTCCCTGCTCTCTTAGTGGGAGAGAGTATAGTGTGGCCTGGACTTTGGAGTCTGACTTCTCTCTGTACCTCTGTTTCCTCGCTTGTAAAGGGGATAATGCCACCTATTTCTCAGCACTGTAATGAACAATGTCATTCCAAAGATGCCAGTTAATTCAGTGCACCAGGCAGCTTCCAGTGAACCCCAGAAGGAGGCCTCCCATATTTATTTACTCCTAACAACTAATATTTAAACAGCACCCATCCTTTGTCAGGCCTTTGGAGATCCAGTACTCCAAACCCCTCTCACTGTACACATGGGAAAACTCAGGACTACAGAGCGGAATAGCTTATATAAGGCCACTCAATAGGTCGGTAGCAAGCCTGGACCAAGATCCAGGTCCCCTAAGTTCCAGCTGGGGACTCTCTACGACCCCCACACCCCTCTCTAGAAAGAAGGGTTGCCCCAGGCTCAGTTCCCTTTCATCTCTAAAATGGTAACTCTAAGGTTTAGGTTTGGCTTCACTTGAAGGAAAACAAAACTAGACCAGCCAAGAATACTCTCCGGCCACGTCTGAGATCCACGCCTGAGATCGTGGCTCTGACTCAATATTCTCCCCGCGACTGGATTTCCTAAGCCCAGACGGTGCCGCCGAACCTGTCCCCACACTCACAGTGCCCCACTCTGGGGGGATCTCTGCAGTGTCGCAGCCCCGCTCACCTGCGCGGGACCCCGGCTCCTCCATCTCTCTCCGGGCAGAGCTGGGCGCCGGGCAGCCCTCAGGTCTCGGACACCGAAGCGCGGGAGAATGAGCCAGCCTGGGGAGACGGAGGCAGGAGTGGAGGGGGAGGGAGAGAGAGACTGCAGAGGACTCGGAAGCAAGCCACGAAAACTACAGGGCGACAAAACCCAAAGCGAGACGGGGAGACCGACAGTCCCCGGACGCGCAGACTAGCAGGCCGAGAAGCGGAGGCGGGGCGCGCGGAGGCCGCAGCCAACCGGCAGTTGGACTTGCGGTTGGCTGCTCCCCCCGCCCCGTGGGACGGATGCAACCGAGGCCCCGCCCCCTCGTTGCCGAGCCGCGAGCGCCCTTGCTGTCTTTCGCCTCTAGCAGCGCCCCAGAAGCGGCACGGGACCTGCCCGTTCCTCTCCGACCACCACCCGCTCCAGGGCAGTCCTGAGTTTGGTTCAGGCCCTGGGCCTACCGCGGTTCCCCCCGGCCGCGCAGCTCCCTGGCTCCGCCCCGCACCCTTCCATTTCCTCCCCCTCCCTCGCTTCCTCCCTTCCTCCCTTCCTCCCCTCAGTCCCCTAGCCCCACGCTCTTATCTATTGGGTCGCCTGTCAGTTGATAGGTATCACCGCCTAAAATTTCCCCGGACAGCCTGAGAGCCAAAAAAAAGGTTCCGGCCGTCAAGAGAGGACTCCGCAAAAAGGACGGGAGATCCAGAGCAATGGACTCCCGTCCTTAAAAAAAAAAAAAAAAAAATTATATATATAATTTTAAATGGGTCTGCATGATTATATATTGAGTGCGAAAATAATAGTGTTACAAGCCACTGAATAAAAACCCATGAATTCATATTGATATAATTAAATAAATGGAGGAGAGAGACAGCTCTTTCTACACTAGAGTTCCAATTAATAAATGCAGACTGTGCACAGACTGAACACAATGTGGTTTATTCTGAACACCTGCTTTTCTTCTGGGAGTCTGGAATTTTGGTACATGCTAGGCAGAGGGTGCCCATATACCAGCCCTCAATAAAACTGTGAGTGCTGAGTCTCTAATGGATTCCTTAGGCAGAAACATGGTACACATGCTGCATTTTCCCTGCTGGGGGGAAAGTGTGCTTAATGCAACCCCTCAATGAGAGGGAGAAGCATAAGAAATACTACACATGGATTCTTTCAGACTCTGCTGTGTCTTTTTCTCTTACGAGCCAATGTGTCCTTACTACATTGCTGTAATAAATCTTAGCTGTGAGTGCAACTATAATGCTGAGTCCTGTGAGTCCTTCTAGCAGGTCTAGGAACCTAGGGGTAGTCTTGGGACTACTACTACAAATACCATATATAGTTTTAAAACATATAAAACAGTGACATATATTAATGGACAGACATGAAGAAAATGCATAGGAATAATAAATACTAAATTCAGGGTAGTAGTTACTTGTGGGAGTGCAGAGGATACCCAAGGGACTTCGGTTGTATTGGTAATTTATCTTAAGGTGGTTCATTTTATTCTTCTTTAAATCTTATTAAATATTTCAGTTTTATTTAAAAAGATTTTTAAAATATCTTAGTTTTCAAAGATTGGCTCATACAAAATCCTAGGGTTCTTCACCCAGACTTCTCCAAACTCACAGTCACCAACTCTGTAGGCCAGTTTTAGAAAAATATCTAAAGGTGATACTGAAGTCCCAGGATCGAGTCCCACATGGGACTCCCTGCTCAGCAGGGAGTCTGCTTCTCCCTCTGACCCTCCCCCCTCTCATGCTCTCTCTCTCTCTCAAATAAATAAAACCTTTAAAAAAAAAAAGAAAAATATCTAAAGCTAATGCCAAATTTTTCTCAATTCTTCTTTGACTGGTGGTCTCAGTCTTATGCCTGAAACACTGAGTAGCAATTGCTGTCTCTGGAGGGGAAGAGATTTAAATCCTGACTTCCCACTCCCAAACTCGGTGACCTTGGCAAGTTATTTAACCTCTGTGCCTTAGGTTCCTCATCTGTAAAATGGACACGCTTGGTACTAATCCTCACTCATGGCTCAGATCAAACAGGTTTCACTTCCTATATGAGAACCTCCCAGGCTTTCATGCTCTAAAAGTTACTCCTCTTCCAGCCTTCACAGCAACTTGTACAGATGACTTCTGATGAACTTTCTATTGGCCACTGATTAATCTGACAGAGAAGGGACCAAATCCATTCTAATGGTTTCATACAACATTTAACTAGCATACTATCAACAGAACTCCAAGCAACAGGATGAGACCAATCTACAGAACTGGTCAGGAATCAACCAAGGTGGGCGCCTGGGTGGCTCAGTTGGTTAAGCGACTGCCTTCAGCTCAGGTCATGATCCTGGAGTCCCGGGATCGAGTCCCACATCGGGCTCCCTGCTCAGCAGGGAGTCTGCTTCTCCCTCTGACCCTCCCCCCTCTCATGTGCTCTCTCTCTCTCTCTCGCTCTCTCAAATGAATAAATAAAAAATCTTTAAAAAAAAAAAAAAGGAATCAACCAAGGGCCAGGACTCAACTAGCTAGAAAAATGGCATCCAAAAAAACCCAACCATACATCAAGGTCTGCCTTAAAAAGCCAGGTGGCATTCTCTAATTTCTGTATTGGCTCTATACCCAGCCTGAGGGATTAATCCAGGTACAGCAGGATGTACTCGTGATTGGAGACCTACCTTGGCCCACAAAGAAGTCGAGGGCCATTCTATCACCCATAACCACACTGGCCAGTGAGTTGAGACTCACCTGAATGCCTTCCAGGGCTGAGGTGGTATCACTGATGGCTTCAGCTAAAGTCAGGGATGAATTTCATATTAACATTTCAAATAAGATGACTCTCAAGATAGGGGTAACTTCTTGCAGAATGTGCATGAATAAGCCACCCCTCCAGAAAGCTCCTCCATGTAACCAAAGGTAGCCTCATTTTGGAGCAATCTCCACAGTCATCTGAGGGATACATGATCTAATGATGGTGCTTCCTTAAACACTTAAAGGTTGCTTATGATCCTCCCTATGGTGCAAGGCACCATGTTTTCAGGGAGGGGGGCAAGTTAATGTCTGGCTTCCACATAGAAGGTACAGTCCTGAGGGCATATGTGATACCTGTTTACAACTGTTGGGGCCTCCCAAGTAGGACCTACATCATTCAGGGAACAGCAGTTGACTGTCACTAATGAGGCCTCCTGGGCACCTGGTAGGCTTCAGAGTTCCCATTAACTTAGAATAATTGAAAACAGTCCTTATTTTTGGAAAGACAGCCCAATGGCAATTGGCCCAAACTGTCCCACAGGTACACAGTACCAACCAGGTGGCATTTGTCCACCCCATAGGAAAACAGAGCAATAGCTACTAGAATGGGGGTTAGGGAGACATCTACAGGTTGTGACGTGTTTTGCAGGAGAGGTATGGGAGCTGAAAGTGCACCTAATGTTTCTGATAGACTGCTCACTAGGTTAATGACTAAATTATGGTGACAGCCATCTAGTAGGGGATGTCAAACCAGTGAGTCAAGTTTAAGGAGTCTGCAATAGTTTGGGAGACTTGTACTAGGCCATTTTCCTTTGAGAGGAAGGCTCCAAGGACCATGTCAACCAACAAGAGGATCCAGGTGCCTGAACCAGAATTGAATGAGAATATTCTAGCCTCCTTTTGGCTAGGCTGCCACCTGGAAGTTGAAGGCTGGCCTGCGGATGCTGTTAGGGCAAAGATAACATCATGCCTAGCAATGGTCAGGGCAGAATACTGAATTTCCAGAATAAACCTACACAACGCTCTCCAGTCTCTCTCATTCTGATCATTGCACCACAAGCAGCTAATTTTACATGTCAATTTGACTGGGACACGAGGTCCCCAGATACTTGGTTAAACATCATTTTGGGTACGTCTGAGGGCATTCCTCGATGAGATTACTATTTGACTCAGGAGACTCAGTAAAGCAAAATATTTTTGCTATCCAATCTGTTGGGAGACCTGAATAGAACAAAAGCTGGGGTAAGGGAGAATTCATTCTATCTGCCTGTCTTCAAGCTAGGACATGAGTCCTTTCCTGCTTCTGGACTGGAACTTATACCATCAGTTCTCTTGGTCTTAGGCCTTCTGATTCAGACTGGAGCTACACCACTGGCTGTCCTGGGTTTCCAGCTTGCAGCCAGCAGATTATGGGACCTTTCAGCCTCCATAATCATGAAAGCCATTTTCTTATAATACATCTCTTTATATATACACAAACTATCGGTTCTTCTTTTCTGGAGAATTCTAGTACGGCAGTAAAAAGTGACTGCTTTCTGGGAACAGCCATATTCAGTGGCCAAACTGCCTTATGAAGGTGTACTGACCAGGATGAAGTAAGTAGAAATCTTTTGAGTACATTCTTTGAGTAGGCAGTCCCAACATACAATGATAGTTGATGCTTCCGGATAGAGGAGTGGAAGGTCCATCAGAGACCTTGACTATCAGCCTTCTGTTGAGTGGTTTTTGTAAGAGAAGATTCACCATTGTCAGACTGTATGTGGTCAATAAAAACAGTACCACGAGACAGATTAGTTTCAAAATCAAAACAGTGTGGTTAGAGTTGGCTGATTGATTAGAAGAGCAACACTGTAAACTGTAACCTGAAAAAGTGGCAACAGTGTTGAGGCACTACTGATAACCCCAAGAGGGAACCAAAGGTCTGATAAGAGTCCATCAGTCAGGACTGGGTGGAGGCCAGGCCTGTGCTAGACAAAGAAGACTTTTAACAGGAGTCACAAGCCTGGCCTGTAGCGGTGGCCTCTGCGTCAGAACCATCAATCTTTTACTCTGTGCTCAGGCTACGATGGTGCATGGAGGGCCATGACTGGTATGAGGGTGAATCCAGGCAATGATGGTGGCAGTCTGAGTGGTCACAGGCTCCATCAGCAACTTGATTCCCAGTTGGTCTCGTCAGAGAATGAACCCCCACGATGGGCACTTACATGTGACCCAGTTTAATAGCTGCAATTTTTAGTTTGTGGCCCCCAAGAAGGGTGTCTTTAATCTGACAGTCTCTGTCTTCCAAGTGACAGACCAGAAGACTAGGCCATTGGCAATAGCCTGAGTTAGTAAAAAATGTAACATGTCTGGTCCCTAGGGATTGTCTAGGACACAGGTAACAGTTTTCAATTCAGCCTATTGTGCTGATCAGCCTTTACTGGAGTCAGTTTCCAGAATCATCACTTGACACCAATAGCTCTTAACTTAGCTGGACCATCAGTGAA